TTGAGCCAGCAGGTGGCAGTAATGCACCTGTAAGTTGTTTGCCAACACGAAGAAGAAGAAGTAAACTAGCAGAGCTAAATGCTTGTTTCTTCTGACGGTGTTGGCTGCATGTTGCTGACTGCATTGTTTCTGTTCCTTTACAATGATTCCTGGCCATGATTTTTGTTTGGTAGTTCAGCTGTGTTAGTTTGTTCAGTTTGTTTCTTTTTTTCTAACCGCCTCATTTGATTGGTGCAGAGCCTGTGAGGGGTCATGGGCAATTTTCTTTTCTTTCCTATTTCCTCACAAGAATTGTATATTATGACATTTTGTAAAAGCAGCACACATGACAGCCTAAAATGACTTATTCTTGTTCTGTTACTGTTCAAGGCGAACTGTTTTAATTCAGTAATTTTATTTACTAATGACAAGCCTGAAAACCGTTAGTAAGAGTGCAATTGTTGCAGAATAGCTGACTCTGGTTTACTGCTTTGTATTAATGACCAAAGTCTTTAACACAGTGAAGTGTTTACTCAAGTTACACGTTAGAAAATGTCACACTTGCATATAAAAATTGATTGACTATAATTTACATTTAAGAATTTCTATTACCATGAGAAATGAGTACTGATAAATGTGAGCAACAATTACTGATAAATATGAGTAATGTTGAGTCATTTACTTATAAACAACATTATTTTACATTATTTCGTTATGGATAACCTTGGATACGAGATTTTATTTAAACAGAGCTTGATTTGTTTAGTTTTTGATTTTGTAAAAACTAGACATTCAGGTGAAATCGCTTACCATAAACGGCTCTAGTAATGATCACTAATTTGGGTTTACAACCTGTTTTATTTGTTCTGATCATTTAAGCAGTTAGTAATATGCCTGGTGCACATTTTTGTTAAGCAACATTTTAAAACATTTGCTTAAGTTCAGTTTGACTTTATTTTAAAACAGCAACTCAGCTCGCGTGTGTTCCCAAACATCCATCCATCCATTTTCTGTGCACGCTTCTTCCTTTTCAGCATCGCGTGGGTCACTGGTGCCCATTTCCAGCAGTCACAGTGCGAGGGGCAGGGTACACCCTGGACAGGTCGCAAGTCCATCACAGGGCCACACATTGAGACAAACGAGACAAACAACCACTCACTCTCTCACTCACACCTAGGGACAATTTAGAGTTATCAATGAACCTAACAGTCATGCTTTTGGTCTGTGGGAGGAAGCCGGAGTACCCGGAGAGAACCCACGCATGCACGGAGAGAACATGCAAACTCTACCCAGAAAGGTCCCCGGACCGGGATTTGAACCGGTGACCTACTTGCTGAGAGGCATCAGCTCTACCAACTGAGCCACCGTGCCTGTTCCCAAACATGAACCAAATAAATCATAAACACTGTTTTTTTTTGTTTCTATTTCAGAAGAGAGCTTTTGAAAATGTAAACTTCTCACCCCGCCATGCACAAACACTAATAATGTCAAACAAGAGAGCTTATAAAACACAACATTCTGCACAAAGAATAACAAAAGTTCAAATCTGTGCTGCCTGCAGGGCAGAGAGGGTGCTCGCGAACACGTTTGACAATTATTTTCAGGGGAGTATGTCACTGTCTGAGAGCTTTCTGAACATCAAAGTAGGCCTCTCTGAAGACAAGTTAGATAACTTCAAAGTCTTGTGACTGCTTTGCCAAGAGGTGCTTTCCCTTTGTTTTGTGCTGTTAGCATGTTTTGCTCTTTATTGTTGGAGAAGATGATAGGAACTGTGGCGGCATGTTGCATCAGGAAACTGTTCCTTTGAATTTACTATTCAAGGACACAATGGACTCTAAAATAACTATATGTTAGAAAAAAATAAACTGCATGCAGGCATTGGAATATCACAAAATATCCATGAAAACTGAAGAAAACATTAAAACAATTTTCAAAGTATAACGTTACAGCCTCAACAATCAGGTTTCAAATGTGGCATTTCGAAATAGCATGTAATGTTGCTACTTCCTTCTTCCAGAGCCAATCACGTTTTGACACTTTGCCTTTATTGCTGAAGAAAATGCATTTGAGCAAAACAGTTTCTGTAATTATCAAAGTAAATGAAAATAATATTGCAAAGATAATTTCCACCAAAAAGCTCAAATTTAGTTGAAATAGTGTCATTAGTAGATCTTATGAGGGCCAGAATAGACTCATTTGAAATAGAGAGGTTTTAGAGTTGGCTATTATTATCCTCAGCATGTGAGTTTACGGGTTGTTGGTTTGTCTTAAAATGTCAAATCACAACCAACGACATAACTGTTGTTTAGCAAACTGAATGAAAGGAGTGTAGATACTAGTTAGATGAATGAATCAAATTCTTGTGGCTGAAAACAATGTTCAGATTTTAACGTTTATTAACACAAACGCACAGGCCATCTGAAATAAAACACCTGTACAAACCAGCGCAACAAACACAACAGCCCCAGCAATCTTGATAAGTCAGCACGTCAAACAGCCAGAAACCTTAAAAGTAATCTGACTCAAGACACAAGAGGCATGGAAAAGGTTCAGATACTGAAAAAGCCCCCAACTGTTCTCATACTGCAGGTTTACTTGTCATTCCAGCGGTATCCCAAATTTCCCACCACAAAGCATGTTCCTTCTTCTTTACTTATTATAAAAAAATCAAACTTCTGATTGTTCTTGTTTCAGATTTTTTTTTTATTTTTCATTTGCTTACAAGTTAGCTGTATTAATTATTTCTCTTGTTTTTCCTTTGCTTGTATAAAACACTCAGATCCACTCCCAATTTATGTGAACGTGAACGGAGAAAACATTAAAAAGGAGAATGTGCATTTAACACAGAAAAATGGTTTTTTTGCTGGATACAGGCTGTCTTGATTTGAAGCTAAGTGGTTGCTTGTGGTGTAAATATATCACATTTAGAACCATCTGGTATGCAAAAACTGATAGAAAAGATCATCTGCTACCTCATTAGAAATGATCAGCTGTGCTGCTGCGTTCATTTACCTCAGCATGAAAGCAGAAACAATAGTCTGCTACCTACAAGACTCTTTAATTAGTAAGGCAACATGCAGAATACATTCCATTATGAGCCTTGTACCTGCTGCATTTTTTACCGGGTCTCTAGTGACATAATTATAGGAGTATTGCTGCTACATTAATTGAAATCACTATCTCTGAAGATCAGCGTCTGTGTGTATCATTGAGCAATCTCTCTGATATTGGCCTGCAGCCCACTCAGGCAAAGCCAAATTCTCAGCATGTAAAATATAAGATGAACAAGATCAGTGTTTGTTAAAAAAGGAAACCATAATCCATCAAACATGCATCTCTTCATCAAATTATGAAAAGACATTTATACTTAGCACATTATATTTCTTTTCTTTTCTTTTGGTAATCAATTAGGTACCATACATGTATAAGGAATGACATATTTCTTTAAAACAATTACATGACAAGATTTTGATGAAATGCAAAATCAAGCCCAAATAGTTCTCAAGATGTGGAACAACGCAAACAGATTAGGCTATAATTAGCTGGGATTCTGGGATGTGTTGCGTCACACATTCTGGTAATCCCCCTCCGATTTCTGTTAACTGCCAGCTTTTCAGTGAGTATTGTGAAATAAACTAAAACAAGCAATAATATGCTCTTTGGCTCAGGATGAAGAGATTTGCTTCCTCTGTGTTACCTGCCGCAATATAACAAGTGGAACAGCAGCTATTCAAACTTTAGCGATAATACAAACAACTTCAATTAGTTCAGCTCCTTTATTGATGTTTCATCACTAATAACTTTATTCAAAACAGGTTAAATTGAAAATTAAATACAGAGCTGTTGAAAATTGGTAAATGTGATTAGTCCTTTTCACACTGAGAGATTAACAATTGTAATCCAACACGTGACTTCGGATATTCTATGATATTTTATGTCTACCGCTGTGACTTATCACTCCTTGAGTTGCTGAACTTCCCACTTTGCAGAGAGATGGAGCATTAAATTTTCAGAACATTTTGATGGTTTCTTTTTTTAAAAAATCAAGAAGGAGTTTCATGTGATTGCTTCAGACTGATCCAGTTTAAGTGACAAATTTTCAAACTTGGGGATAGACATATGCTGTAGATATGATGACAATGCACTCTGCTGTGGTGCCAAGGCGAAAGGCATTTTCGCCCCCCAAAAAAAGATGAAGAGGATATAAATACTGTAAAAATGAGTCCGCAAGCAGCCTGTGACAATTTTTTTTCTCATCCCTTAAAAATTAAAAAAGTTAAAATTGTAATTTTTCATTACACAGTTAATAAAAATTAGTGTGAAATTTATTAAAACATTTCAGACTAATGGGTAAAGCCTGTTTTTGTCCACTAAAAAATGTTTGAAATAATATATTTGTTGCCTAATATTCTTGTTTCGTATTAATATTATTACCTTATAGACCATGTTGGCAGCCCGATGGCTCAGTGGTTAGCACCGACACGTCACAACAAGAAGGTCCTGGGTTTTATCCCCGGTTTGGACCTGGGGTCTTTCTGTG